TGTGATTTAACGGCTAGTACTTCGCTGTTGTTCTCAAAAGACCGGAGTTTGAATCCAGAGTGGAGAGAATTTTTACCGAGTTTCTTGCTTAGTCTTCTGGAATGTTCTACCGCTCTCAGCCCAGTTGGCCTAGACAAGCAGGGTCGAAATCTGCTTAACAAAATATGATCTAACCTGTGTCGATAGGGCGAAAAACACCTACATTAAAAAAGGCAAAAAAAACACACAAAAAAACAACCAACCCCAAACAAACCCAAAACATGGCATCGTTGTTTTTCTCGTTGTGGTAAGAAAAACGAAATGGGCTCGAAAGGTCATTTCCAATAGTTGCTGTTTATCTCAAGCCCAGTTCCCCAAAAAACTCCTTTCAGCTATTGAGAAGATCTCCCACTCGGGCAGTTCGAAATCGAGCGTTATTTCAAACCAGAACGTTTTAACCGAATGGACGAGGTGAACGAACGGTCAGGGATTGACTGAACAAATTAACTCTTTTGAGACGTTACAGAATCATAAATATGCCCATATTGCAGCAGACCAAAGAAAGTGTTACTGCACTTTTCAAATCATCGCACACAAATCAGAAACGCGAGTTCGCACGACATTTCATAGTAAGCCTGTTGGTTGTTGTCTGCCCTTTTGAGATTCAGATTTACAAAAATAACGTTGAAGAACATGTAAGAATAACGAAGCGAATGCTTCTTCTTCTTTTTTCTTCATTTTTTTTTTTTTGAGTAACCCAAAACCGTGCGTCTTCAAGTGTTGCCGAATGATCAGCAAACACGACGTCCTCAAGGAGTTAATACTCTTCGTGGTCGGGAATATTTTCAGAACTGAGTAATACTGAGTAAGGCTAAAAGCAGTGCCAACATGCTAATGGAGTAACCTTCAGAAAAAGTGTACACATAACAAGCAGGCAGTTAAGGTATTTGATTTTCCACAGGGTTTCCTCAAACAACAGGAGGGAAAACGCCAGCCGCGGGGGGTATGATATTGATTACAAATTGATCATCACTCGAAGTATCGAGGTTCGAATCCGGCGCGGCTAGGATTTTTTTCTTGTCCTTGACCTAATGCTTGTTTACTTTCCTTTCAGCCCAGCCTTTTGATAGGGGTTCAATCACTCTGTTTTCAAAATGGCAAATGTTATGTCGTGTTGCTAAAATACCCCCCCCCCCTCCCCCCTCTTCAAAAGCATTGACGCTACTCAAATACCAACGCTGTAAACCTGCGCATTTTTTGACAGCAGGACCCGTCAACAATTTATTTAAAGAGACACCGGCCATCCATGTCAAGGTACTGTTTTAATCTTCTTGAAAACCATACTCTCCTCTCATCTCTGGGAAAACCCACAGAGTAGAGAAATCATTGCATTTCTCACACGTTAGAAAATAGCTATTCTTTAAATAGAATTGTTTGTAAAGATCGTTTTATTGTTACCATAGATGTACACTATAGTACTAGATACAGTACACCCCTCTCTCGCCTTGCTGCGCGATGGCCACATTTGACAGCGGCGTCCGCCATGTTTTTTGTGGTAAGTTGTGTGAAGGAGTTCACGCTAAAGCAATGGGCTAGGCATGTTTTCTCTCTCTCTCTCATACGTGACAGGCGAGGCTTGGTTCTTGTTGATCTTTTTTTACATGGGCGCCGTGGCGTACTATATCTAAATTACTAAATTGCAATAATACAGCCTTCTTTCTACAACTAGATCTACAAATAAATGTATTATTAAAAAGATAGAGATAGAGATATGGGCTTTTAAAAAAAGAAGAAAAAAAAACAAACTTTATTTCTTCATCAGCACTTTATCTACGAGGTGGTTTATTTCTTATTGACCGAATCAAAGCGTATAGGGCCTATAGAACTTTTAAAAAGAAGTATGAAAAGATGTGGGTGTCATGGGAACCTCCCATAACCACCCCACCCTCTCTCTCCTCCCGAATCCCAATACCAACAACACCCCCCCCCCCCGGCCCTCCTCAGATATATGAGTTTGGCATTAAATTATATCAGGATGAGCCATAGGAAAAAAAATTCCAAAGTTTTTCAGCCTTTAGGTGTAGGAATGCAATAAAGCTCTTGATAAAGCAAATTCAGTCAAACAAATGATGAATACATGTACTGGTATTTTTAAAATCGAGTTAAACTTTCCCTTGTGACATTTGAACAGGAACTGTATTTTTCATTCATATGTTCACTTTTTTAAAAAGTATACTAAATTATAAGTAGTGTTTTCTTATGTCGATATTAAACTTTGGTTTATATTGATTTTAAGAACTAAAGTAGACCATATACAGCACTTAAACTAAAGCTCATTCTATTGTTGTTTTAAGTAAGTCTAATTTTGGACATTAGTAAAACAACTGTGACAACTCTGGACTCACTAAAGATAAAAAAGTGAACTTAAATGTTGTTTTGTAGCCTAGTCAATTGTTTTTCTACTCAGTGTAGTGATAACTGAAACAAAAACCTTTACTAAGGTGTTTTTAGACAACATTCAATAAAACAAAACAATAAAAAGTACACTGTTTCAGTTTGATAAAGAAATTTCCTGCCCATTGTGAAAAAGATCTAGCTGCTAGTCAACCTTAACTTCACATGGCCCAGAACCTTACTGATGGCTCTTTATGTTTTAAAAAAGAAACCCGGAGTGACTATTTGTGTCTATAAGACATATTATGCACTAAAATAGATGATGTAATAAAAGAAAACAGACATCACTGAACTGCCTGACAGAACCAGTAAGACGTTAATCCAGAAAGGGACAAGAGGTTTCGCATGCTTGCACCTTTAAGAGAATCGCTTTGAATCAAAACATAATGTTAGATTCAAATAAAACACGTAAGACTAAGAGCAGAGACACGTCCACTCAAATGTAAACAAACTTTTTAGCCACATTAAAAATGGCCGCCAACAAACTCAAATGTGTCCGTGTCACGTAACCTCGTACGGACTCTAGTTTAAAAGGGGGTAACTCTATGATTGTTACAAAAATATAAAACATAGATCTCACTAGTGTATCTATTGTGGATTTTTCAACACTTTACTAAGTGTCTCAAAGTCCACTTGTCAATGCTGTTACAAACACAACAAATCGAACAGCCCAGAACTTTGATTAACGGATATAATATTAAGGTAGCTACAAATAATTGGTTCTTTTTACTTTCCGATTTGCATGAATGCATATTCTTATATACAATATGAATTTTTTGTTCCTTTCAGTTATGACTGAGAAATGTATGGAGATTTCACTCTTGAAAAAAAAAAAGAAGAAATTTCCGCCATGTAATCAAAACGTCAGACCCTGTTAACTTATATGTTTAAACAAACAAACAAATAAAAATTAAAAGAGAATAAAAGAGAAAAAAAGAATTCGAATGATTAATAATTCACAGTGAGAAGCAATATCCAGCTTTCAAATGCATAATTATTGTAAGTCTAAACAGCCAAAGGGAAGTCAATTTGCTTTAAAAGCTAGGGTGTACGTAATGACCTATGCCTGTTGAGTCCTTAGCGAATTTCAGTGTGTCCACTGCTGAACATTGGTTGATCCATTCTCTGAAGTCGTCAAAATAAAAACTGTTTCAAGCTTACCCCCTCCGAGAGCGCCTGTCCTGTCATCAGACTGGATGCCCACCCGCGCTTTCTCTCTGGACCGGGCCACAGCGACGCACAAGACGGCGACTCCGATACAGCACAGCACAGCGGACATGACGACGGCCGCCACAGCAATAGCGATGTTGACGGTGGAGTCTTTGGACGAGGCTACAGGACGTGGCTGACGGGACTGTTTGGCTGCACTTCCTGGCCGACGTGATGTAGGCTTGTGACCTTGACCTGTATGAGGTGTCGTTTGCTTTAGCTGGCCTTGTGAAGGTCCTGCGTTTCCAGTGGCCGCTGTGGATCTGCCTCCAACGTTTTTAGTACTTTGTCCGGAGTTTGGTAACGGTCCTTGAGAGGGGGTGACTGATCCGGAGTGGGGCACTGTCGGTTTCAGACTGCTGTTAACGGTTCCAGTTGAGGCTGTTGGAGCTCTTGTTGTTGTTGTTGTTGTTGTTGTTGTCGTCGTTGTCGTTGTTACTGATGTCGTAGTAGTGATTACATCCACCTGAATTGTCTTCGTGTCCTCCGTTTTGTAGCTCTCAGCTATAATCTTCCACGTACCGTGGTGTTCAGAAAACTGCGATGACTGAACTATTAGACTAGTAGTGTTCTGTACACCGAACATGACGATACGGCTGACGTTGACTCCTCTTGGAGATACCCACGTGACGTCGGGGAAAGGATCGCCCTCCACCGTACAAGACAGAGTGAATGCTCCGCTCTCTTTGACGCTGAAGGAGCTCGAGCACGAGATGACTCTCGCGGGTACGCACTGCAAATCGGAATCGGGCACATTTATCAAATCTTTGCTCTGTACATTTTTTGGCTCATCACAGACTACAGACCCTCCGCCGTAGTGAGTGGGAAACAGGAATTTGATTGGTAAATATTTCACCCACGAGAGGGCGCAGTTGCATCTCCAAGGGTTCGAATCTAGTTTTAAAGATTTCAGAGCCATGAACTGAGGTTTTAGACTTTCTTCTATCCCTCGAAGGTCATTGTGTGTCACGTCTAAATGTTTCAGATTTGACAAAGAAGCGAGGAACTTTGCCTCCAATCTAAATAAGTTATTACCATGTAGGTCCAAGTCTTGTAAATTTTGCAACTTTGAAAGTTTATTCCCGAAAGTCCTCAAACCGATGCGGCCTATACGAAGAACTGTGAGGCTCTGGAGATCGTCAAATGTGTCCTGGTCAAGTTTGCATCCCGTGTTACCTGTTAGGTCAAGTAGTTGGAGTTGTGGGATACCAACAAAGGCTGTCCTTGATATATGCCTCAGCTGGTTGCTAGAAAGATCCAGGGACAAAAGTTTGGTCAATTTAGAGAAAGTTGCAGCTTGAATAGTGTGTAACCCTGCCCGGCGAATTCGCAACCTCACCAACTTCAGAAGGGACCGGAAGTCACTTGGCGATACAGTTGATATTATATTTGCCGTTTGCCCAGGTGCAGACGGCAGAATCGAGAGACTTTGTGTATCACTCGGGAGATTTGAGGGAAATGAGCTCAAACCTGTTCCACAGACAACCACTTGACCATTGCTTGACGGTGTGCACGTGCACGGGGCTGGACAGGCGCACAGAACGACCTGCCGTGCCAACTCATTGTCTAATAAGAACACCAGACACAAAAGTGCGGCGTACCCGACCGGTTTATTTGAGAACATCTCAGTCGATATCGTTCTTTCAATTTCTGTCTCACTTTTGAAAACTTGTGAAGGTCACATGCCTTAACACAGAACTATCCTGTATAATCCAATTCACGAGAAATGTTCGAACACTGTCTTTTCATTTGTTTGTCTAAGGCAAACATAGAAAGTTTACAATCTGAATGACTGGGGAATGGTGTGGAGATGAAATTGTACATCTACAGTAAATGTCAAGCTCCATTCTGAAGGCAAATTTGCGTGGAAAAATGCAGTTAGTCTTTTTCTTAGTATTGAACACACACTTTCTTTGGAAATAGAGCCGTTTTTCTCTAAGACTACACTACCCTTTTTCCTCAATGATACTTCGTCCAAAACCTAGCGCCTTCTTTCTGAAATCTGCACGACCCTCGTTGGAGAAAGCGTTGTCTAAAGTTTTTGCAAGAGCAGAAAAGTCGACAAAATTAGCCGTTCTCCCACGGTGACTAAGAGGTAAGACGTCAGCCTAATGACGTATGGCTTGTGCTCTTAGATCAACTTTCCTTTTGGCATTTCCTTCAAAATCCTGTATACCCTCATAGCTTGCTCTCTGTAGCCAAACTGTGAAAAGTAACACCTCACTTTGAAAAAGCCCTCACCTTCTCGAAGTTTCTCCACACTGGTGTGTCAGAGGATAATTAATGGGCTTAAGCGGACGTACGTATTTCAGCAATCTATCCAAATCCTACATGCCTTATCAGTTATGAATGGAGTCCATGTCGGCGGTTTGCGGAATAGCATTGTCACTCTCGACCGCGATGATGACTTCGACAGGTATCCCGGAATTTTAAGCTCATTAGTCTTTTTGGTCTTTACATGCTTATGAAAACGTTTTCATAAGTGTTTTCGGACCTGTGAAGGTCTGGCGTATTTGAAACACGTCTCGCTGGGTCAGTAACATTGTTATAAGAACGCCATTTTATTCTGTATTCCGTTTTGCTCGTCATGTAGCCTAATTTTCGTGTTTTTCTCTCTGTCATTTTTGGCAGGCAGTGGATTTCTTCGGTTATTTTCGCCTTACAGTTGTTGCTCCGTTTTAATTTTGTTTGTTTGTCATTTTTGGGATGGTTTTAAGCATTTGTAATGAGTGTTTTTTTTCTATTGTGTCGTTCTTTTGCACTTGTGATTTTTTTCTCTTTTGGGGGGGGGGGGGGTTATGCGTTTTCTTTCGGGGGAGGGGGTGTGGTTTTCCATAAAGGATAACCGGCATCTGTAGTGTGGAGGTCAATTGCGTTGTCGTTTTAAGCAAAAGACCTGAGTTCGATTCCCATGTGGGGAGACATTTAATCGAGAATGTACGTCTTTCTGCTGGAACGATGTAACTCTTTCAGTGTGGTTTGGTTTTGTGGAGAAGGACGTAAAAAATGTACATTAAAAAAAGAGAAAAGACTAGGAGTTGGGGGAGGGGTGATTAGGGATCTATAGATACTATTGATCGCGAGGCAGGTTCACTCAATCGCTCCGGATTTTAAAAAAAACAAACAACTCAGTGAGGACGTGCTCCCGGGCCATTCGACAACGCTTTAAGACGTGCTGATTTAAGGCGCTTGAGACAAAAACAAAAACGTAATAAATTCGTTCTTCTTACGGATTTTGCAATTTTGTTTTCTTTACCAGAACTTTAAAAGGACATGCTATAAAATATTCAGCCGGTGTTTCTGATTTGTCTGCCGTGGTTCCAATACGCCGCAATATTTTATTGTCTTGGGGCTGCTGCTGTTCGGACAGAATAAGTGTCCCCTACGTCCTCTAAGTGTTAATAAGGTTTACAAATGCTTGAAGAGAATCCTCCCCTTCGTAACGGAAATGAGTGTGGTCTTCCTTATAAATTCAATTGTTGCCTTCACTCATCTTGGGCGCTTCATTAATCCATTAGTGTCATACTGGACATCGGAGCGTATACTTCTGGTTTGAATTCCCAAACCAAGCGTTCTTGAACTTGGGTTATTTTAGGGAAATCTGCAAGGCCTTTCACTCATTTGGCTGGCTCCTATCGGATATGGATGTAAAATCGGTGCTCCGGCCACACATATAACCTTAAAGGGTTGAAAGGCTCGTTAAATCGATACAATAACCAATATTGAACAATCGATCCATGGTTTGTTTCGCAAAAGTCGAAAATATTGCCTTGATATCATAAGATAGTTTGACCGAGGGGGAACTAATTACACAGTGCTGACTTCAAAGACTGTTCGATATCAAAGTCGAATAATATCATGCCCACCATTATTACTTCTAACTTATAATTAGCATACGAGTTTATATATTAAGAAGTATCGATTATCACCCACGAAGCGTTTTCCGTTTTGGGGTAAACTAGTTTGCTATAAAGCGGATATGAGTTATTAACGAGCATGCATAATAATAACGTTCTCTTGTAGCAATCTGTCAATCTCAGGAGGGGTATAACCACAGAGAAGTACTTTCCAGAATACGTTCCTATACCACAAATAACCCGCTCTTCCTCTGTAGTTTCTCTCTTTCCCTCTCTCCCCCCCTCTCTCTCTCTCTCTCTCTCTCTCTCTCTCTCTCTCTCTCTCTCTCTCTCTCTCTCTCTCTCTCTCTATCATTCTCTCTCTTCCCTTTTTAGTCTGTCTATCTGTCTGTCTGTCTGTCTGTCTGTCTGTCTGTCTTGTTTGTCTTGTCTGTCTGTCTGTCTGTCAAAGAGAGTGTGCCTATTGTCTTTCCCTACCTCCCCCCTCTCCTCACTCTCCTCCCTCTCCCCCCCCTCTCTTTCTCTCTCTCTTTTTCTGTCGCAATCTCTCACCCTTTCTCTCTCCCTCTCTTTGACACAGTCTGTGTGTGTGTGTGTGTGTGTGTGTGTGTGTGTGTGTGTGTGTGTGTGTGTGTGTGTGTGTGTATGTGTTAGTTATCTGTTTATCTGTCCAGATCTCCCCCCTTTACCCCCTCCTCTCACTCTCTCTCCCCTCTTTCTCTCTTTCTCTCTTTCTCTCTTTCTCTCTCTCTCTCTCTCTCTCTCTCTCTCTCTCTCTCTCTCTCTCTCTCTCTCTCTCTCTCTCTCTCTGTTTCTCTCTCTCAACCCTGTTTCTGAGAGTCCTTTTTCATTTTTTTTATTCAGTCCTCGACGATAATTACACTTAATTATCTTCCCTAAAACACACTACAGGAAGACACACTATCACTCCTCGTTCTTTCTTCCTCCTGCTTTAAAAAGAATTACTCCATCGTTCCAACAGTACACATGTCTCATGTACACTGCTATGCATGCTCATGGAATACACGGACACACGCACACATAAACACGCACACCCACACGCACACACACACACACACGCGCGCGCGCGAACATAAGCACTCTTGATGTTAAGAACAACAACTAGGTAAGTATTCAGTTTCTCCGTTTTTATCCTTTTAGAAGGTTGTTGCTGTAACTACTCCCAAAGCTTTTTACCATAGAAGGAAGTTAGCCTATTTGCTACTCCCCAAAGCTTTTTACCCTAGAATAGGAAGTTAGCTTACTTGCACGCGCCTAAAATAGAATTAGCACAGAACTTTTAAATCGTCGGCAGATAACTATTTTCTGTTCGCGAGCTAATTCTGCTTAGAAAACAGCCAAGATCGATGCAGAGCAGAGGCGTACTTACAGCGGAACAGTGCATTTTCAACCCTGCACCAGTTAAAGGGAACCTTTTTCTAAACCTCATATTGTTGAGGCTTTTCTTCGATACGACCTTTCAGGACTCTTGCACCTCGCTGAACACATTAAACAAGAATCGGTATCGCCCACCTATGTATCGAAATTTAATCAGGAAAAAAAATTATTAAAATATATTGATTTAACGCCCCCCCCCCCCTCCCCTTCAGCCTCATAGGCGTTTTTGAGAAGCGATGCTTCCTAATCCAATGTCCGCCGTAGAAACGACCGATGGAGTTAGACTGAGAAACTCGATGATAGCTCAAGGGAAAAAATAATCCCAAGTTCATAGACATCAAAACTGCATTGTCATCTGTCTACAAAACATTTTCATCACGCTACCATCATCTTAACCATCACGCTTGTCTTCACATCTATCGTCCTGGTTTATCAGTTTTGTAGTAAATAAGATTAATAATAATAAGCATCATCATGATAATAATAATAATACCAAATGAAAACGGTACATTATATTTTACGGCCACTTCGACACAATTTAGATAAACTGGAAGGCGGCTTGCTTTCATCCTGCCTGGCCTCCCAGGTCCAACCTAGGCTAAAAGGGACACAACGTTCAAGAAGACAGACGGTGATGCTTAATGATCAACCCCCCCAAACAGTGATTGAACTCATTCTGTGCGAGATACGGCTAAACACCTAACTGCTATACCAAAGACACCGGTGTCATCATCATTTATGCTTCCCGGGAAGCTGAGAATGTTTCGGAGTGTTCTATGGTCTGCTGGGGTAATAATATAGTGTAAAGCGCATAGAGCCTGCTGTTGAGCGGGGATTTGCGCTATACAAATGCTATCTATTATTATTATTATTATTTACCAATTCTCAAATAAAAACTTCACTGACAAGAACACAATGTCATGCGCAATATTAAATTCCATCTCTCATTTTAAAAAGTATAAAGAGCAAAAGTAACAGAGGAAGTTCGAGTTTCTCTTGACCTTTCATTGCAGTACATTATACTACATCTTACCTTTGTCGAGAACAGAGTGCAAACTTTAAAAAAAAAATAGAATCACCTCATGGTTTGTTTCCCTGGGCCCACCTTTAGCTCAGTTTGTATCATGCTAAGCTGTGGTGTTTATGATCCTGGTTCAAATTCCCAATGGGTGCTTTTGGGTTTATTTTCTAAGTTTTAAAGATTCTCAACCTACTTTTCTCAAACATTTTCTTAGAAATGGAAGTAACATTTTGAGTCCTAACTTCTAATACGATTTTACAGTGTTTCAAGGGGCATTTGACAAAGACAATCACAATTTTATTTTATTTATTTATCTTCTTTGTTTATCGCTTTTCTTGATTTTGGGGT